AACTCCTGCCATTTCCTCTTTCCCTTGTCTAATATATCCATCAATAAAAGCGCCATATATTTCAGAATTCGGTTGAAACCCTTTTCCTACCATCTCTGCCTGAACCTTCAACGCTTCTTCCATCCTCCCCTCAAAACACAACCCCTTTATCAAGGCCTCATAACTCTCTTCCCTTGGAATTAACTCAAATTTACCAACAGCACACGTCACAAACTCCAGAGCTTCCTGAACCCTACCCTTATCACAAAGCAACCTAAGCATCACGTCAAGGGTTGAAGCATCAGGCCTCAAATCCCTTCTAGACATATCCTTGTAAACAAGAACAGCCGAATCAACATCCCCAACATTGCAATACCCCTTCACAAGATGCTCATAAGTTGAAGCAGTGGTGCCAACACCAGCCAATGCCATTTCCCTGAAAAACTCTTCTGCCCTTCCAACATCTCCAATTTTGCAAAACCCACCAATAATAGTATTATAACTAACAACATCAGGCTCCATTTCCTCATTTCTCATCTCTTCCCACAACTTTTCTGCATCCCCCATCCTCCCTTGTTCACAAAAACCAGCCATCAATACACTATAGCTATAAGCATTGGGTTTACATCTCATTTCACGCCAAATTTCCTCCATCCTATCCACCAAACCCTCCTGGTAACAACACAGCATCAATTCATTATAAGTATGAACATTGGGGGTGACTCTAAAACCAAAACCCCTTTTAGAAATTTCATTCTTTTCTTCATCCAAACGAAAGAACTCGCGGTAAATAGCATACCCTTCATCCACCCCTCGACTTCTACAAACCCTAGAAATCAAAGAGTTCAAGGTGCTAAATTTAGGGCTAATCCCGCGAGAGAGCAACATTCTAACGATCTCAATGGAAGGGTCGATCTTTTTGGAATCCAAACACGCCTTGATCAACAAATCGAAGACCAACGGAGCTGACCCAGAATCTCGATAGGTCTTGACGAGGGTTTCGAAGAGGTTCAAAGGAAGCGAGTCGAAACGGTGATTTTGGTCGTCGTTTAGTTCGGAAGCGCGAATGGCGGTTCGGATGAGGTCGTAAGCATGTGAGGAGAGTCGCGCACGTGCGAGGAGGTGGATGATGGAGGAGTAAGAAGCGAGGGTGTGGTGGCATAAAGATTTGGTTTTTGTCCAGAGAAAAAAGCGAAGAGCGAGTTGGGGTTTGTTCTTGAGGTGGAGGGTAATTTGGGAAAATTCCACGGGATCGATGCCATTGGGGCACGCCAAACGGAGATTGCTCCAACGAGACTTGGAACGGTGATGGGTGAGGATAGAAACAACGTCTGTTACTAAACTCTCGGAAGCATCATTTGAAGAAGATGAAAAGAACAGAGGCCAAGGTTTGGGTCTCTGAGTTTGGGAAAACTGTTTAAGGTTTCGAATCGCCATTCAGATGTTTGGTTTGGATTTCATGTACTATAATAACACTTTTACAATTGTTTCTCTGGTACTACTAATTGTTTTATTATTATCATTTTTTTTTAATTTTAGTTATTTGGAGGAAAATTACGATACATGAATCTTACTAGTATTTGAAGATCAAGTAGAGGTAGGCAATGCAGAAAGTAACAAATTAGTTGAATGATTGGAATAAGAAAAAAGCAACAGAGGAAAAGATCAGTAATTAACTACCTCTGTTTTATATGAAAGTAATCAATAATTAGTTTGTGTATGTTACGTACTAATGGGAATAAAATTGGCCAACTTAAATATAGGATTTGTGCAACCTAAAACAGATGCTTTGACCGAAAAACAGAAGAAGCAAATTCTGTCTAGGGCAGATTAAATCAAAACTTTATTTAGTTTATTACTACCCGCAGAAAAAATGTACTTCGAGTCTGATTGTATTAAAAAAAATTAAAAAAAGAGAAATTATTCATAAAAAAATAATTATTAAAAAATAAATAAAAAATAAAATAATTCATATAAAAATGAAAATGAAAAGTAATTATTGTAAAAATGATTTATTAGTTTCAAATTCTTAAATTTGACTAAAAAATATTTTTTCTAATTTTTTTAATATAAAAAGATATAATAGTCCAAAAAAAATAAAGACCAACATAATTATAAAAAAGGATATTCCCTTTATATATTAGTATAAATTTGGACTTATTTTAACCAGGTTAAAGTTTTGTGGATAAAAAATTGTCATTGAAAAAAAAATTGATAATTAGTAAATTCAACAAAGATTAATCATACACGAATATTTATATAACAAAAAAAAAATTCAAACCTTCTATGCTGGTCTTTTGATTTTCTTTTTCACCCCTTGTTTCTTTATTAAATTGAATTGGATAAATGAACCATTAACTGGTTGAAATGTGTGGAATATTTTGTTCCCATATCCAAAACCATTCATTAGCTAAACAGTACTACTTTTATATCTTCAATTGCTTATGCCTCGGGAATTTTTCTTCTAATTAATAGTTTTAAATGTTGTCGTTTCATTCTGCCCATCCTCCTCTTCTTACAATTATAGCATGTTGTGTAATTATGCATATAAAACTGAGAGGATTAGCTTGCCAAAGATGGTTAGTTTGAAAGGCTTAAGAGTTAAGAGGGAATTTAGAAGGAACATTTTGATTCTTGATAAGGACAAAACAAAGATCAGCATTCAGCACAAATAACGGAGACCAGAAAAGAGAATCTCGTTAGACTTTCACTTTAGATGACGGTCATGTGAGTACCATTGCTGCAGCAGAATTGAACGGAGAGAAAGTAACCAACCAAATGACGGAAGATTCCACATGTTTGTTTCCGTGGTAAAAGAAACAAAAAGAAAAATGGTCAAAAAATTAAAGAATAGAAAGAGAACCAAAGTAGTATTTCGTCATTATACTTCAACTGGGTTGGTTAATTCTTCTAGCATTTGTTCCTCAAGAAGCAATACATTTGAGAAAGGGTAGCATAAGTTCTCTACAATCACTTGCATATCTCAGCCACTGTGAAACATCTATCACATTGTAACACGTTGCAACCACTGTTCAGCTTCCATTAAACGCCTTTATGAATTGGTGATGGTATTAATGCTTTCCTATGAAAATCCCATAATCTCAAAAGGTCCAACTTGTCATGTACTATGGATAACAAAGTAGTATAAAAACTATATATCCAAGAATCAGTTCCTCATAATTGCGTCAAGGGTCATTGGCATATTCTTGGTGAAGATACAGATGGATAAGACCTTAAATCAGGCATAATCTCTTTCCTACAACTGAATGAACTTTAAAAGATTAGAAGGTACAAAATTACTACATAATTATGAAAAGGAATGTGTTCCATTGTTCTTTTTTTGTTTCAAAACTTCAATCACGGAAGGAAGAAGTTTGCGTGTCTGTGATTCTCAATCATCCTTAACATTCAACTAAGCAAATCCAATTATAGATCCAAAACCATATTCATTCTTTGCGTATGTTGAAAACACTCCTCCTGGAGAAGAATTCAATAAATACCAAATTTTTCTGTGCCACATCATTCAGACACGAAAATATTGCCAAGCAATTCGATCCATTTCAATCAAACTCAATAGATGCTAAATTCTTATTCTGTAGATTGTAGTATTATCTTCATGGATATCTTCATTATTTATTTTCCCAATATTAACAATTTTAAAATTCTAATTAAATATCATGGCAAACAACATCCTTTTAATCCCCTTCTAAATGAAGAATATTCCGTAGTATCGAGTTGAGAGGAGTTCTATTAACACACCAAAACTTTCTAATACGCTCTTTCTACCACTATTCAGTAAATAAGAACTAATTAAACTCATAAAACTGGGTGATTTTAATAAATTTAGTCAATAGTAAAAAATAATTTTAAAAGAGTGTAGATTTCATGAGTTACTGTACATGCAAGTAGCTAGGTCAACATTTTTAAATTGCTGGTTCTATATGATCGGCACAATAACATAACCAATTAATCATAATAAGATATCACACAGTATAGATCAATCCTTTGTTTTATGTTCAGATTGTAAACTTGCCCGGCAGGAGGCAGCAGCATACTAACATTTTGTCTAATTTCTCCGGAAAGTTACTAATTCCTTTAATGCATAGATATAATCATTAAAGGAAGTTTTGTTTCTCCAAAACAAATTCTTTTAATCTAACTGCTGACTTACATGTTAGACCATCAACTAAAGTATATGATAATGATAATAATAATAATAAAAAGTGGTATATATTCTGTGGTGGGCACAACACAATATGCCTTATGTCCAGCTCTTTTCCTTCACGTTGACGTGGTGATTCCCATGCAGTCTCTATTTACCACCATCTTCGGAGGACGCATAATTCCTTTTCAATCGCTTCTCCCATAAGCCAAATTAAACCCACACCTTACCCAAATCACTATAAACATTATATACGGTGTGGTCTATGACATATTGACATGTCATAAATTAAAAAATTGAAATACATAGTGAATTATTGATGGAGATCATTATCAAATAAACAACCCGAAGTCCACATGAAACAGCCCTCACGTATATATAAATAGAATCAGGCTTAATGTGAAAAAGCAAGGTGGAGTGAAGAGTGATTGAAAGAATTAAGCATGAAATACAGTGAGATATCCCACTTCAGCCACCCGCAACACAAGCTCCGATTCGAGTACTCGGAAATCCCGTTCAAATGCGACGGGTGCAAGGAAGCGGGCATAGGGTCACGGTACAAGTGCTCGAGGTGCGACTTCGACCTTCACATGCAGTGCGGCATGGTAACCTCCCCCACCCTCTTCCACCCCTTCTACGGGAAGTGCACCTTCCACTTCATGTCGTCGCCACCAGGGGACACACCTCGCTACTGCAACGCCTGCGAGAAGGACGTGACGGGGTTCGTGTACCACTGCAAAGCGTGCGGCTTCGACCTCCACCCCTGCTGCGCCAAGCTTCCGGCGCTCCTCCAGGACGGCGAGGTGAAGCTCTACCTCTACCGGAAGGTGAGCTCGGCGTGCCACCGCTGCGGCCGGAAGGGGCGGAGCTGGAGTTACCGGTCCAAGTGCAAGAGCTACAATCTGCATGTGGCGTGCGTGAGGGAGATGGTGGTGGAGAATTGGCACGAGGTGTTTGTTAAGGGTGTTCCTGTGCTTGCTTACAGTGGTGGTCACACGAGTAGTCGGAGTAAGGGGAAGAAGAAGGTTAAGAATTGCTGTGAGATTGCCGCTTTGGCTTTGCAGTTTGTCATATCGGCTCTCTTGGGAGATCCAACGGCTCTCATTGCCGGCATTGTCGCCTCCTTCGTGTCAAGGGCTTGATCCCTTTCTCTACTTTGCTTGCTACTTATATAGTGTTATCATGTTAATCTCAGTTACATTACATGCTTCAAAGTTAGTGTGATTTGGACCAAAGCTAACTCAACTATATCAAATGACTTTTTATTCTTCTTTTATATTTCTGAGTATCCAGTTTAATTGGTGACCTGGGTTGCTACTTCTTTCTACTCGATCTTTACACTTCTTTAATTTTTACATATTTCTAAATTTCAAAATACTTTCTCCTATTTTTAACTAAAACATCTCTCTTACCTTTCTTACCCTCCTTCATTTCCCTCTCACAATCCCACAAGGGCCACAACTCACCTCTTTATAAGAGTGTTCATGAATTGGTTTAGATAAAATTTGATTAAATTTATTATCTAAATCAATCAAAATATTAGGAGTTAGGTTGAATTTGTATAATTTTATTGTAAAATCCAGACTAAATTATTTCGATAAGTGTTAAGTTGATTTGAATTAAGTCAATCAAACTTATATATTTAAAATTATTTTAAATTTTCTATAAGTTACTTCTTTTTTTTTTCTTTTTTCTTTTTTTACCAATTTTAATCCTTTATAAATGCTTGTATTTGGTGAAAATTTTATATTTTTTTTCACGGATCCTAATTATATAAAAACTTGATCAAGTTGTATAATGGGAAAACATAAAAGCATATGCAACTACATATTATTTTAAAAATTATTTGAATTTGAAAAACTGACATTCGTTATAAAATAAAATATAAATATAATCATATGACCCATGATCTTTAAAAAAATAAAATTATCGAATATAATATAAATAATAAATTAAAAAATGTCACAAAAAAGTGTACATGAATGAGTTGGCTCTAAAAGTATTCAAACTAAAGTTATTAGGTTGGTTTGGGACGCTTCAAGTTTATAGGTTAGTCGTGCATGTAAATATCTTTATCTCTCTTTCTTCTCCTTCACTTCATCTCTTTCACTTTCACTGTAGTGTAGTTGTGAGTGACTCCTTTTCATTCTCCTGTGGCTTTGTTGTCCAGATAATTTCTTTCCTCCTCATATATTTAAAGAAAAATATTTTTCATAATATGGAAATGCATTATAAAACTAGTTTCTATTGTATTATTTATTAAGTGTTTAGGCTAGAAAAAGAAGAGAGAAAAAACAGTTTTTATGATGTTTTTTTTAATCTAAATTAACTCTTATATATTAGAAACAAACTTACCTTGCGTGAACAATTTTAAGAATTTTGTTTTAACTAGAGTTTTTAGAAATTTTTTTAACTTCTTATCTAATTTAATTTTTATTTATTATAATTATTTATGAATTAAATTTTTATATTTTCAAAATAAATTATCAATAAATAAAAATAATATTGTGTTACATTATAAATCTAAAATATAATTTAAATGTTTGAAAATATCTATTTATACATATTTTAAATATAATTTATATATTTAAACATAATATTTATTTATATATATAATTTATTATAAATTTTACATATAATAAATACTTAGCTAAAATACTAAGTATATTATGAAAACTATTTTCCATAGTTTGATTCAACATAATTCTATTACGAAAACTGGCTCCTATTTTATTCAAAACTAGTTTTGTATATATAGTTTTTGGAATCACTTTATTTCAAAAAGTCATTAAATGTGAAAAATGATTTTTAATTTAATTAAAATTTTAATATTATTTTTTATTTTAAAACTAGAAATAATTTTTTTCAAACTAATTATGATCCTAAATTTTCCATTTTTTATCTCTTCATATTTTTTTTTTCAAACAACACATTAGTATGATCGTAACCGGGTAAGAATATCATTATTGACTTGAGTCTTGACTCTCAACATATGCATCACATGTAAGTTTCACAGTCAACCTTCTTTTTTTTGGAGGTTTTCGGGTTCGTCAAGGAAGAATATTTAATTAAACACTTTTCTATTATTGGTTTGATGTATTTATATATCTTGGGGCACAAATGCAGTTTGAAAAAGAAAAAGGAACACTCCATTAAGATTGATAGTTTATCGTGGTTTGATTTGACTCGAGAGATCAAATTCACTAGATTATTCAAACTAGTTTATAATGATTTAATAGTTTAATATTTTTATATATCAGGATACAGAGAAAGAACACTTTTAACATTTCCACAAAAATAATTTTTAACAACATTTAAAAAATATTATCTAATTATATATAAATAAAAAATATTACTTAATTATATATAAATCTCACTAATTTGATTTTACATTATATTATCAAATATTGTATATAATTTATGTTACTAAAAACTTTTATATTATCAATTATACTTTATAGATCTTAGACTTCTACAAGTTCTTTAAGCTAAGGTTGAAAACATTCCTAGTTAATTATTACTAGTTATATATCAAAGTTCACTTATTTTAAATATAATTTTATGATTATATATATTCCTTTATAAAACATTCAATTACTTGATGTGAAACTTTGATTTTAAAAATTATTAAAAAAAATAATATTGAGATAAAATTTTTTTTATCTATAGTAACATTTTTCAAAAAAATGTTGCAAAATAACTTATGTAGCATTTTTTTTACTCAATATGAGATTTTGATTTTGAAAATAATCAAAAATAATAATATTGAGATAATTTTTTTTACTCTATCTACAATAATATTTTTCAAAAATAATGTTGCAAATTGATGGGGTTATTTTATGATATTTATTTGAAGAAATATTTTATAATGATTATTTTTATAAGGTTATTACACACAACTCCATATTAGAGTTTGTGTGTGTTTTATAAATTGTTATTTCTTCTCTTATTTTATCGATATGAGACTTGTTTGTATCTTAACACAAATAACTTGTTTACTTAATTTATAGTAACATTTTAATAAATATAAATAGGTAAGTGTGACTAACGAAATAAAATGTAGGAGTGTAAGATCGATAGTTTATCTCAATTTAATTTTGGTTTGATTTGACTCGGAACAAATTAACTAGAATCAAAGTAATTTATATGACTTGTGTTCGTATAGTGAAATTAGTTTTGGTTGAATTAATCGAAATATACTTGATTTCATATTTTTTTTATATACAAAAAGTTAATTTCAATTATGATTTTAAACAATTATTTTGATAATTAACCACTAATAAAATTGATATTATTAGTCTAGATAATGGTGCGTACAAAAGGAAGAAAACCCAAAAAAGAAATAGTATATGATATGGCGAACGTATATAAACATAAATGGTAAACGCATAGGAAAAACAGCTAAATTTTGAATTTTCATATTAACTTTTTTACTAAATTTAAAGGCATACATATAATTTATAAATGTTTAGGAGGATGATAAGAGAAAATAATGAAGGAATCATGAATGATGTATACATGGAAAAAGACAAACAGAGTGGAAACATATAACGCGGAAAGAAAAATTGGGATAAAGGCCTGCAAATTAAATATTAATGTGAAAACAAAATAGGTAGCAACATCAGAAAATTCAAGGATGCTTCCACCCACGGACCTATTCTCACATCCGTCCATGTCTTCAAACTTGACGGACTTATTATTTCGGATTGGGAGGCACATCGTCATGTGATTTATCACATTTTCATTATTTTTACGTACGTATAAAACAAAAACACTTTCGTCAATTTCTGCTACCACTTTCCTCCGTTGCTCCATCTCATGAAACGGAATCTATAATTTATTCCCAATAATATATATATTTTCCGTTATGATCATTAACAATATATGCATATGCAAAAGAAGACTTATCTTTAACTAATTGGGTAGAATATAATAGCATCAATAAAAAGGTTTCAGGTTGGATTTATGCCATTAATTAGTCCTACGTACGTACAACAGTTTTAACCTAAACTTTTGTCTACAAAGAAAAATACTTAATTTATACTTGAGAGCAGACATTCCTGGACATGTTTTTGAACCAATATATTGATTGATTATTAGAAACCATATATGATTTCTGTGGATGCATGTCATGTGGAAACACAGGTGTTGAGTGATGCACGACATTACAACTGTATACAGGTTCCGTTATTATTTGCACATTCTTGGAAACTAAGGAAGCAACGAGGAAACATGTCCAAGAATTAATATTCAAATATCCCTCCAATCACTTTCGTGCTTTGCATGCATTTTTCATATACAAAATAAACAATAATGTCCCCAGCTGCATTTAATTTCCACTTCACTCGTTTTCTTTTTCCTCTCCTTTGTCTATAAATAGAAGCACACACACACCCCTCTTCCCTCACAGGAACAGAATTAAGTCTAATTTCTTCATTCCGTGTAGTACTTGAACTCAACCAGACCCCCATAGTAATTAAGCAAAGACAGAAGGTAGCATATATGGGAAGTTGTGCATCTACTGAATACACAAGCAAAAGTGGAAACCAAAGTTGGCAATCAACGGTGAACATAGTTCACTTAGATGGGAAGCTTGAGCAATTGAAGGAGCCAACCAAGGCATGGCATGTGCTATCTGAGAACCCAAACTGCTACATGTGTTGCTCAGAATCGATGTATGTTGGGTTACCAATGCCCCCTGTGGCTCCAACTCAAGAGCTTCAATCGGATCATATATACTTTCTTGTTCCACTTTCCAAATCACGCGTCCCACTTTCTCTTCAAGACTTGGGCAATCTAGCCATCAAGGCTAATGCAGCTCTTGCTACTTCAAGGCCTAACCACCCAATCTTTAAAGCCAATTCACACAAAAAATTCCGCACCCACCCAACTCTTTCAAACGTTTCTCTCCAATGTTCCCATTAGATTTTCCTAGATGCCTTTCAAATTTCAATGGGAATTATATCCTTGTTCCAGATTCCACATGACTGGTAGTGTATATAAGTGAGAAAAATAATTCTTATTTTAATAGCACTTCTTCATCCATGTTTTGGGGATTCTTCTAGATGATGTGGTGAAAGTCAAGCTCGATCGATCTATCCTTAGCCCACCATGTCTGTGTTGCAGACTTGCAGTTTATTAGAAGTTCTGCAGCAACTTTGGTGAAATACAGTGAAGAATTGAAATAAGGAGATGGAGACCAGATTTGATCCTTCTTCTTTCACATGTACAAAACTGCAGAAGTACAAGCCAAATCCAACTTGTATGCTATGCTTAGTTATAGCTAATAAACATTTGTGCCAAACAATTATTTCATGTATTTAAAACAATTATGTTGATCAACTTCGTTCTTTTTAGCTTACTGTGTTGGTTATACCTGTTTTCAGATACTTTTGAGTCGACCATAACATGATAAGAAAATAAATGTGAACCATATAATATGGATATTAAATATGCTTTTAGTGGCTAATTTTTTTTTAATTTCATTTTTAGTACTTAAATAAAATTTTAAGTTTTTAATTTTTTTCATTATCAATATTTTTAATCTTTGTCATTAAATACTAACTAATGTGAAACTTCTCCCTTTTTTAATACCTTATATACTATTCATGAAAAATTCATATTGGATTCTTCCTCATTCCGAAAGGCGATTTGAATTTGAGCAGTAAGTTGATAGAGAGTTTGAAATTCCGGTCACTACAAATCAACGTATGAGGCATATGTGTGCGCGTACGTATGAATATATGACATAAGTGGTTCCGTCATTTAAAATTTGACTAGACAATGTGAAAAGTATCTTTCTAATGAGGTTGTGTCGAGTTAAGCTATGATTGCTAATTACATCTCATCATCCAATAATTATAATTATGTTGGTGAAATATTCTAGTCCAAGCTCTCACCAAACATTACTTAAAAAGTCTCTCAATCAATAAAAACAACTATATATATATAAACTTATGTTCATGTGGAACTTTACTTGCATCTCAACATTCTCATTAGGAATTGTTTTGCTCCTTCTTTCATTTTATGATATGATAAGTAATTTATATTATTATAACACCCTTTTTAATGTCCTTATCAGTTTGCAAAATTTTGTATAATATGTTAATTAATATCTTGTCTAATATAATAAAATTAATCTAATTATACTACAACACGAATGCTAATTTTTAAGCGTGTTGATTGGATTAGATCGATTAACTTAATAAACATGACATTAAAATCAAATCAATTAAGTGTATGTTTGCTGAAACGGTGACTTGGAAAATAATCGTATTCACATTCATGGTTAGTGCAGAATTACATATGATCATATTAAAGTTTTCATATTTTTTTTACGTGAATTTTTATTTTACCGTAGAATCAAACACATTGTAAGTGGATTCTTGGCATGTTCTCCATTAAATCGATTATAATCAGTTCGATTCTTAGACTTATTTTTTTTTTCACTCCAAATTAACTATATGACTTTATTAATTAATTGTTATATAACATCTACATATATCCATTTTAAACATTAGCACTTTTTTTTTTCTTCCTTTTTTTCATTCACTTTGGTTTTTGATCTTATTTAATATTGCCAAGTGAATTGGTCATGTTTATTACGTAATTTTTTTATCATGTTTTGGATAAAGAAATTGATGAGATATATGAAGTGATAATTATAGAAAATTAAATATTAAATAAAATAAATAATTGGTCGTTAAAGAATAAAAAATAGTTTTACCTTGCATATAAATACAAAATTAAAATTTACGTAAAATTGATCATGAGATATAAAAATTAAAATAATATACTAGTGAAAACAACAATTATTTTTTTACATTAAATTAGTCTGTAGATATATATAACTTTCATGCGACTTTCAACGGTTGGAAGATTTGTGGATTCATAACTTTGGGAGGATGAAGTATTTTCCAATTAAAAATGATAGTATTATATTTTATGAAACTGAATCTGTCGGTCAAATACTTTAGCAGGCGTAATGATTGAAATTGACCAGTACAACAGTTTTAAGTAATCATGGAGTACTTAAAAGTTAAAACCAAAAAGCTAATGAATAGATTAAAAAAATATTTATCTCAACTTTTTTAATAAAAAAATACGTAACAGCTTCTTTAAAAGAAACATCTTAAATAAGAAAAAAAATTAATTTTTAAAATTCTAAAACATCAATTTTTTAAGGGGGAGAAAATTACAAATGATGAAATACTGTATAAATTTTGGAGGTTGAACCGTGAAATTATACTTTTAGAATAGTCTGTCCAAACAAACACATGCCTTTATTTTTATTTATTTTTTGTGAAGAAAAAGCATAAATGATGAATCAGACTTGCACTCATATTCCACTTCTAAAATTGTTTGTTCCATGCTTTGATGATCAAATGAAAAAAAAAAAAGTCATATATACTATTATTCTACTCCAACAACAGAGTGTTTTACTTGAGTTATTCTATGTTGCACATCTGACGAATGGTGAATTTATACATAAAAAAGAGAAATAAATTCTGTACACAAATAGTTTTAAATTAAATAAATAAGTAACCCCAAGCGTGTGGTTCAGGGAGTTGATTCACGCTTAAGCAAGGTCAAGGGTTCGAATCTTGACTTGTATATGTCTCCGTGTTAAATCTTGGCGTCAGTTATCCCGCGAGGAGATTAGTCACTACTTTCGACAGTGATACTCCATGATCGAACAAAGAAAAATTAAATAAATAAGTGACCTTTTTCTTAGAATGGAATATGGGACACGCAAGGGAAAGTTACATGACAAGTAGAGAAGATAGGATTCTGATGTCTACAACATTTTTGTCCACTCAGCTATTGGAAAAAGAGAATGGCCCATAGTTGCACGAAATCTGAAGTATAAAAGTCGACGCAAATCGACTCAGATTTTGAAATTAGACCGTCCAATAGCAATGTGGAAAAACAGCAAATACGTGTTAGCAAACTCAGAAACTTGAAGGATACTTCCTAAACGGGAATCATCTTCATCGATGAGCCACCATCTTTTCTTGTTTGTTTCCATTAATCCCATCGTATTCAACCAAAAACGAAATATAGTGATTTTCCGTTTAATTTCCCGCGTTAATTAATAGGAAAAGTATCCCTTAATTCAAGAATTTCCATGTATTCATATTGTATCGTAGACACCATCAGATACTTAATCAATATGAGATTGTTTTAATTTAATAAATAATCTCAAATTTAAATTTTGAGTATGCAATTGAGTTGTTTTGTTACTATATCCAAGGTGATTTTATCTCACTGGAAGACTTAGTTCCTAGTGATAAAATAACGTATAAAATTTTAAGAATTAAGGAGAATTTGTATTCCCCGTGTTACATGGTGCCCATTCCAGATTCCAGTAGGAATGAGACACAAAGACAAGCACAAACAGGCAGAGACAAATGGGTACATGTGCTTCCTCGCAATTCAGAAGCAAAGAGCATGTACCATACTCCGAACTGCTTCCTCTGCATGAGTTCAGACTCCAGTGTCTATGTGCAATGTATATTGCCTCACGTGGGTCCCACTCTCCAATTCCCCCTTACCCCTTTCTCATGTGCACTAACCAGCCATCAATGCTAGGTTGCTAGTTATTGCACCTCTTGTTCACAAACACAATCCTCAAACTCATGTTAAAATTTGTGAATTATATTGACTTCAAAAGTTCTTCACTAGCATTTTATAGTCATTACTGGTCTGATTTGCCCCTTCTGATGGCAAAGACAAACAAACAATAATAGTTTCATGAAAGATATGCAATTACAAATAATAGTAGCTACGTTACATAAAGTATGTCAAATTCAAACAAAAAAAAAAGAGCATATGCAGGCCCAATCACTTGCACTTTTATTATAACAACTAGGGGTTTAGTGTGGCTCCCCGTCAATTTTATTCAATTCAAGAGGGAAAGAACTGCGTAAGATGGAGTCTAAGAAGAGGGTTTCATTTCAGATTTAATGGCATCCACCAGCTGAGCATAAGCTTCTCCCCATGCATTCTTCATGGCTGGTGACCACATTTCAGGTACAGCTTCTTTTATGGTCTCCAAAAGTGCAAACTTTGTTACCTTAATAAAACCAAACAATAAACTATACATTAGTATTTAAGGAAACCTCTCCTTGTACAGTGTACACCACTAGAAACAAAAGTACTACCTATATGCAGGACAAATATATGGTGCCGAGATACATATATGCAAGTGTTCTCTAAAGAAATTCTCCTAGAACATATGTTTTCTAAAACTTATTTTATAAATAGGAGATAAGTAGAAAGAGAAGAAATAGAAGTATAAGATAAAGTGAATAATCTGATGAACAGAAGTGAATCAAAAAAATTACAAAGAAGAGAACTTAAAAAACACAACTAAAATAATAATTATCTTATTTATGCCAAATTTTCAATGTAACAATTGATATAAACAGATATGAGCAAATATCATTTTCCATCTATAATTTGACGCTCGCTAATAAACAACGTTTCATTTGCCAACCATTTTGATATTAAAAGTTTATATACCTCAAAATGCTCGTTTGCTACGCCGTATTTAAAATGGGTAGCACCTAATTTTTTCAAGTTTGATTCTCTGACTGTGACTTTACCAGCCTTCCGCAGTTGAACCGCTGAATCACAGGTCTGCAATATCCAAAACAAAATTAAATGATACCAAGAGACACGTCTAGCTAGCTGCTATAATTTATGGTCAGTTCTAAATATAAAATATCATATAATATATAGTTTAACTGGAGATTTTGTCTAGTATTTTTAGCTTACCATGACAAAGACAGACGTGGCATGGGGCTTGAGCTTGGGGTTTTGCTCCAAAGGAACCGTTGAATCTCTCAAGAATGGGAACAATTTCTGAGCTGATGGAGCAATCTCAAATATTCTACCAAGTTTTTCAAGTCAACAATTCAGTTGTTTAGAGTTAAGAAGAAGATGAGGTACAAACATAGTGAATAAGTTTTACGTATAGTACGTATCATATACGTAAAATGGTAAAATTTCAAGTACTTATATGGTAAGTGTATGTAAGTTGTATCTTTAAAAAGTAGATAATGACTTACTTCAAGAAAAACTTGAGGCCCAACTCTCCGGAATTCTTCTTCATTACGGTCCATGACTTGACCACAAGAGCTTCTTGCTCTTCCGTGAAACCTCTTGGCAAGGTAGTCATTTTCTCTAGTTTGGTTTAGGATTGTGATTGTAGTGAAAGTGGTTGATGTTATTGTAGCTTGCTTTGGAAAAGTTTTTATAGTGGGATTCATTGGCCCTTCATGGCATTGGGGAGTCATTCTCGTTTGTATGGCTGACTTGTTGTACTCAAGTTTACCTGCGTAGTCCATTTGCTTTCTAAGATTAATATATCAAAGTCCAAACAGTGATATATATATTTATTATTATATCTGAATTCTGAATGAATTTGATTCATGCGAAACAATTGCATACCAGGTGCCAAAAACTAGGGGCTGCTTGCGGCGACAAGAAAATGGTTTGGGACAGTCAACAGAGTCTTGTGGGTTGAACTTCAACTACTTTTCTTGACCATTCTGCGTAACAGCGTAAGCCATGACCTATCTTATCTCTTTTTTCTTTTTCCTGTTGCAATTCATGCAGCCCATTCTAGATGATTAATGTGTGTGATTCTCGTGTGGCCAAACACAACTAGACAACTAGTATGCACCGTATAAAAAAAAACTATTAAATTTTAATAGAGTCATGCTAACGCAAGTCATCATTAGGCTACTGGTTAAATAATTAATAAATACTTTTATTAAAATTATGTTGAAATTACATTTAAAATTATTGAAAACTATGTCATTACAATTTTTAATATTAAAAAATCACTTTTATTTTCTTAACCAATATCTTAAAAAGCACTAATCGCCATTTTCTATAAAATTATATAATCACGGTACCGCAGGCATTTGCATGGATCACTTTGACATTTATTTATACTTTAAAATGGTTGTGCGTATATACTTAATTATTTACTTAAAAATAATAATTAACTAAATTGGTTGGAAAGCAAGTTGCAGATAGTACGGGGACGATAAAAAATGATAATAAGAACAAAACTACCAGCAACATTAATAAAGAATTTGGAAATTTTGACAATCTCAAATAACAAATATTAGAATCACCGAAAGATAAATAAAAGAACTTAAATATTTTTTTAATCTCCATAAAATAAATAAGTTCTTGTAAGAAAATTACTTTTTTACTCTTCTAAAATTATAACTTTAGTTACTAATGATCGTTAAGACAAATAAATAATTATTTTAATAATATATAAAAAATTAAAAAATTTATGCACTTACATGATATCATTAATCATTACAAATACTACTTAAAATGATTATTTAATCTTTTAATGAATAAATAATTAAAAAAATTACATAAGTAAGATGTAAAAATAATAATAACAAATTTAAAGATAAAAAATTATAAAATTAAAATCAAAATTTTTTTATTTTACATAAATTTAAACAATATTTAAGTTTAAAAAATGTTAAGACAGAAAATAAAGTTGATCTAGAAGTGACATGTGTTCTCGAGGTTTCTCCAAAAAAAATTTAATTTGCCCAGTTTTTATTTTTATTTTTTCCTTTTTCTTCCTCTTTCATTTGTTTAGTTGTTGTGCTTCATTTTTTTTTCCCATTTCAAGTCATTCTTTTGATATTTTAAAAGAAAGTTTCACTCATTTTGTTCTTCACATATACAATTTTGAATTTTTTATTTTATTTTTTAAGTTAAAGATAGTTATTTAAAGAGTTAAAAAAAATCACACATTTCTTGAGATTTTATAATTTAATTTTTCGAAATATACTCACAATTCAAAAACTTGAGAAAATTAGAGTTGTTTAAGGTATTTGCAAGTTTTTTTTTTTTTTTTTAGTTTTCAAATGTAAATTTCCAAATAAAATATATTTGACTAAAATAGAGTTAAATTAATTCTATCTTAATTTTAAAACACTTTAACCATAATTTTTTTCTTTGAAAAAGTACTTTTAATTTTTAATTACATAAAAATATATATTAGCTATTATGACATCACTTAACATGAGAGACGACAAAGTTGTCCATTACACAAAGTTATCCCTATTAAAAGTGAGTAGAGACTTGATTCATTTCATCATCCTATTTACCTCAAAGAGGGTTTGACAGATTCAAGTTTTAAAATTAAACTTGACTTTTTTTAATAGGTTTGGATTATTCTCCGAGTTGTCCCAACTGATTTAACATCTCACGTTCTTTTAAAAATATATAATTTTTTTAACAATTGTGTATTGATAATAAAATTATTTTTTTAATGATAAAATTTTGTATAACATGATATTATATTTATAATAATATTACTTATTTTAAAATGTTTATCATAAAATATATGTTAATTTGATTTTATATTTTTATTCTAAAATTTAATTATAAATAATGTTAATATTAATATATTATGATAAAATGTCATATTGATTTGATTCCATCTCATAAGTTTAGACTTTAATTAAGGAGTATTTGTATTTAAATAAATGACTCAATCAAAATTTTGAATCAGTTTAAGTGACAAATAAACTTTTTTTTTTATGTTTGAAAAGTTATAATTCCATTGCTTATCAAAAAAAAAAAATTTCCATTGCTTATTTGTGCAAATTTCATTACTTTTGATTTATATTTTTCTTCTTTTTTGAAATATGATTACTACCCTTAGGAATGGATCTAAATTTCATGATAACCTGACCACAATGAAGATGATTATTGATATTGCAAGTTATATCATTCACTTGGTCGATTATCCGTTCTAATTGAGTTCACACACGTATTTTTATGATATTATTTATTTTGAAACTAAGTTTTCGTATTTTTATTTTTAATTATCTTTTAAAAAATTATATGAATAAATATTATGTGTATTATTCTATAAATCCTTCTTTTTAGTATAACGATTTAAAACTTTGTTAGTACTCCAACATTATAGAATGTCATTGCACTTAATCCAAAAGGTGATAGATAATTTTAATGGTTTAGATATGTTTAAAATTTTGATATGATGATTAAGATAGTCTTAGAATGGAACAGAGAAAGTGAATTGAAATTATGTTTTCGGAGCTGCAGAGGAAGCAGTTGGGGATCTGGGACAGGGTACACACACCCTGCTTTCATGTGCTGTTTGAATTGTTGTAGCCTACCGTCCAACCGAATAATGTTAGGGGTGGTTTACCAACAAAGTTGTCCACCTTTTCTTTTTTTTTTTATATTAGAATCTACAGAGGATTCACACGTACATACCCATATGTCTCTATGTATTTGTACCTCTCTGTGTTTCTGTGCTACACTGGGGAACACAACATACTTCTCTGAGTGTGATGGCCTTTTCGTTTTGTTGGAGATCAGAGGACAAAAACATTAAACAAATACAATTTCTCAATCAAAATTAGACTCAAATTAATTAGTAAAGCTGACTGTTCACCAAACAGTAGAAATAGAGTTTTTAAAAATGTGTTACTTGCATTGTTCACGTGTGAATGAGATACTTCATGTTATATAGGAAATAATTCTAAAGACACCATTAGATTATGTATCACATTATCCATGCATTTATCATATTTCTTTATGTTACAATCATATCACCATCAAATTCATTTACTGAATTATCAAATGCTGAACTGAACATTTTCCAACATAGGAACCCAAATAGCAACATACATAAATTATTGTTCATAGAAACGAAATGCACAGACCCTATCAAGGAAGAGTCTAAGCGGATGGGTTCATTTCAGATTTGATGGCATCAGCCAGCTGATCATGAGCTTCTTCCCATGCATTCTTCATGGCCTCTGACCACATTTCAGGCACTGCTTCTTTTATGGTCTCCACAAGTGCCAACTTTGTTACCTAAACAAACCAAAATATAATTATGTCACTATATATCTTGATAGTTGTATCTAATTGGTAGAAAGTTGAATTTCTTAAACATGTTTAAAAATGAATTAGTATCCGATTATCCATTTAAAGATATCTTTGGTAGAAACTAAGAATGAAAAAGTTGTCACTAACGAATAAACCATATCATTTTCAGCTATATATGGTGGATCATATACCTCGAAATGCTCGGGTGCTACACCGGCTTTAAAATGAGTAGCACCTAATTTTTTCAAGTTTGATTCCCTCACAGTGACTTTACCAGCTTTCCGCAGTTGAACAGCTGATTCACATGTCTGCAATAACAAAAACGAAATAAATTCATCACAATTAAGAGACACGATTTATGTAACTTAAGCTCAGTTTGTAACTTGGAATATAATTTGTCTAGCAGTGTTCTTATACATCCAAATAATGGGTGGTGACAAATGAATGCCGAGTGAAGTATGTCATCCAATTCTAAATATAAGTAATAAAAAAATTATGCTAACTAAAAAGTTAGTTAATATTATTTAATTGTATTAAAAATAATTAATTTGGATGAAGTAAGAGCAATAAACATGTATTTTTGTTTTTTATTTTTAGAATAGGATGAAGTAGTAATTAGCAAGCTTACCATGACAAAGACAGCCATGGCGTGGGGCTTGAGCTTGGGATTTTGGTCCAAAGGCACATTTGAATCTTTCAAGAATGAGAACAATTGCTGAGCTGCTGGAGCAATCTCCAATATTCTAAATGTTTAATTGAAGCCATTGTTCAAAAGCATGCATTACACATTATGTTGTGTTAATTACTAGCTAGTTGAAGAAATTGAAAGGCTTACTTGTTGAAAAACTTGAGACCCAATTCTTGAGAATTGTTCTTGATTGCGTTCCATGATTTGACCACCAGAGCTTCTTGCTCTTCCGTGAAAACTCTGGCCTCCATGTTCTATTGACTATAGTAGTATTGGTATGTGAAGTGTTACTTATTTTATGATAATGATATGATGGCAGTGGTTCATGTATTTGTAGTGTCAAGGGGATGCCTTCAAGATGAGGTTGCCCCTTCATTGCAATGGGTAGGCGTTCCTGTGTTTATGGTTGGCATATGGCACGTTCTTTGATTGTGATATTTTCAAGAAATGATCACCATATCAGTACCAAAATCAAATGACATTATTTGTCAATAATTAAATTGTCTATAATGAGATTGAGGTGAATGAAATAATAAAATAATGCTTTTATTTCATTCATCTCTCTTCGGTCCCATAAACGCAAGATGATAGTGGTGTTGCCCAGCCAACTTAATCTATAATACTTATTTAACAAACTCTTAGCTCGTTAAAAAATATTTATTAACAATTTGTTTAATGTAAGTTAATTAAAAAAGAATACATTACAAGTCACACGACAATTCCTTGTAACAACTATTTATTCAAACGTGCTACTTATATAAAACCAAAGATAAATTACAAGCCACCTTGAGAGAAATATTAATTGATGCCGTATCTCAAAGAAGCCATGTGAACTAACTACTACCTCTCACATAACATTATCACTTATAATTGATATTTTTCATACACGAGACAAATGAAACCTAACTAATCAGGCATAATTGGAAAATAACTATATTATTAGGACCGGTTCCTAATTATGTATTCAGAGAAAATTTCGTTAAAAAAAATTACTTCAGAAATTTTAAGCTTTGAAAAAAAATATGATATCGCTTATGGATTGAAAAATATTTTTTTGTGTAGGGA